GTGTGTTTTTCCCCCCCCCCCCCCCCTTCAATTTTAGGATTTCACTTGTGTTTGAACTCTGAAATAGTGCCATTGTCTTAAAACAGTATGTTTTCAGTAGAGTTATGTAGTGTTTATTGTAGTTTAGCTGATCAGATTTGATGTTATCATATGGCACCACAGGGTGCCCAATATGGCAAAATTGCCCTGATCTTAGTATGCACATCCTTTTCAAACATAATATCCAGTTAGTCCGTGAAATGGTAAGAATGCTAGAGTATGTATAAGAGCTAACAGTATTTTGAACGATTCACAACAACAACAACAATCTCTGAATGCAATGTATGAAAGTGGATTTAATTAAATAAACATCTGGTTTTCTGCATTGCCTAAAAATAAAGAGGCAAACTTGTTGGAGATTTCCTTCCAGAAGGAAATGCTTAGCACATTGCTTGGCCCCAACTAGAAGGAAAAGGAAAAAAATAAAGACTATTTTTAGAATCTGATCAAAGCATGACTTGAATTCCTATACTTAAGTGTCATAAAATGAAGCTTGTGTTTATTATGATAAAAATACAGATTCATGGAAAAATGGAACATCTGTTTCAAGAAAGAAAATTTTGAGTATAATGACTTTCTCGCTTAATTTCCTAAGTGATTAAATTTACTGGCCTGAATTCAGAACTTGTGTAGGTGGCTGCCTCAGCTGGAGAATGGCTCGGCAGCTGAAGGAGTCTGTCAGTAATATTTGCGTGGATGTTTCTGTGAGAAAAGAAAAAATAAAATTGTTGCATTTGTTGTAAGCTGGAAACCGAACAACAGTCTGAGTCACAAGCCGACTCAGTAACAATAGCATGGGCTATTCTGTTCCTTTCCATTCCGCCATATCATCAAGTAGTATTTTAATAGAGATTTATGTTTTAATCTCCAGAATTTTTAGCCATTACCCCTATTTTATTTCTGTTTCCTATGCCCATGTGTAAGTTCTGAAGAGTAAGTTAATATCTGTAATTTCTGACCTTTATCACTGTTAATGTGCTGGCTACTGAATCGGTATGGTCAGACCTCCATGTTTGACTGAAATTTGCCCAGAATATGTAGATGAGTAGCTTTTGTAACAAGTAAAATCAACAAATGCTGCTTTTCGTGTCAAGGTAATAAAGGTAATTTTTTTAATGTCAAAGGTGGGTATTTAATGACTTAAGGATGAGGGGAATGTTGTTTTGAATTTGTTGCGTAGAGTCTCTCTCCTTCCAGTGCATTTTAAATGCATTTATTTTGTGATATGGTCATAGTAGGCCACATTTCAGACCTCTTGCCTGAGCTATTGCCTTAGTGGAAGACAGGTGACTGACTGGCAGCCCAGGGTTGTTAGGAGCCAGTTTTATCTAAATAGCCTGCAAGCTCTGAGATCTTAATGGGCTTTTTATTTCCACACCAGCTATCCTAAAAAACACAGAGTGCTTGGCCCTGATGCTACCCACAGGATAGGACTGCTCTACAGTTAGATGTTTGGAGTCTTCAGTGACTCAGTGGGACAGATGAAGGAAAAACTAGTCTAGATTCACAGTATAAGCCTGCTTTGCAGGTCAGTTTTTTCCAACTGAATCCTTTATATGTTTTGTTGGAAGATGATTAAAACAGGTTTATTTCTACAATACATGGCATTTTCAAATTGACATATTACAAAAATGTTAGTTTCACTGAAAATATTGCATCAGCTCTAATTTCAGGTGCTTTAAATGTAGAGAAACATGAATTGTAGCATAGAAGTAGTGATTTTACATTTAGGTTGAGCAACTATATGATCTTCGCTTGCAAGCACTGAATATAAATGTACGTATTCAAGCAAACTTTGAAATAGCAAATTATTTTTCAGGTTCAAATCACTCATATTTGAGGTTTCCCTCAATTCAAACATTTAACAAAAACATTTTTCTATTAGAAGGTTTTGGTAATACTTGTTCCAAAAGTATTGCTTGTAGGTAGCGTAGTTCAGTTCTAGCAGTACAGTAGATAGCTTCACTGCTTCTGAGAGAAGGATGACCTCTCATCCATTACTGCAGCCTTGAATCTTCCCCCATGAGAGGGACAGCTCAGAGTTGAATAAATGAATTATTCTACTGGGCTGGATATCAACTGTAGCTTGGCATTCTTGATGTAATCCCATGTGGAGGTTCAAGGTGTAGCTACATCCTTCATGAAAATGTTGTTATAGTTGCCCAGAGAAGTTGTGGATGCCCCCTCCCTGGAAGCGTTCAAGGCCAGGTTGGATGGGGCTTTGGGCAACCTGGTCTGGTGGAGGGTGTCCCTGCCCATGGCAGGGGGGTTGGAACAAGATGATCTTTAAGGTCCTTTCCAACCCAAATGCTATGATTGTCAGTCCTCCTTTGAATTGCATGGTGGATATAGCAGTGCTTGTGTACTCTCTGCTTTATCCTTCTCTGGGCATGGTTTTCATCCCCATGGGATGCAGTGGAGAGGAGTGCTCACCCCAGGTGTAGAGACAGCAGTACTTTCACATAATACGCCTTCCTCTTTTGTCCTTTTCAGCTCCATGATGTTCCATTTCTAGGAACAGGCTGACCCTAACTGTTACAAAGGCAAGGGGGCGGTGGGGGATTTTTCTGCACTGGCAGGGTTATGTAGGACAACCAGATGTGACTTCTGATCCTGTTATCTTATTTCCTTGGACTTCAGCAAATAAAACAGCAATGACAAAATCCACTGACCTGCGGCCACACCAGCATGGGTTGTGATCTTGTCAAAAGTTATCCGATAAGTGAAGTTAACACTGTTCCATATTTGGACAGGAGGTCTCAAAGGGAAAAAAATAGCTCTCTAGAAGGTTTTTTTCATCATCTAGCAGTTTATATTAGAAAAGGAGAAAAATGAAGAGGAAAACAATAGCAAAGGGTAGTAACGTGATACAGATAATACTGACTGTCATATTGCAATGTTGAACTTGAATCATGATTGAGGCAAATCCTGATAATTCAGGTAGCCTGAATTGTATACATTTAAAATGCATATAAAGTATGGTATTTTATGACATGATGCTGGCACAGTAGCAGATCTTGCTAGGCCTGCTGGGAAAAGGTTGTATTTTTCTACAGTGAAAATGAGATTTTTCAATAAAAAGAGACAAAATGTTTTCATAAAACCCTTTCTATGAAAAAACCCCACTCTTTTGTAGGAAGCTGAAACTGCTGAAACAATTTTGAAGCCTTAAGCTGGAATTATTTTTTTTTTTGGTTTCACTACAAAAAATAACAATTTTCCAGCAAAGCTGAAGTTTTCTGAAAAAACAAACCAAAAACCTTTAAAAATATCCAGACTTTTAAAATGCAAATTATTCATAAGTACTGTTCCAGCAAATTTTAAAAGCAGCATAAGGTATTGGTTACTCTTCTTAATACACAAAAGTGATGAAATAGAATAGAAAGAAATTACATGCTTTTTGTAGTTGTGGATAGCAAACATTAAGTGCAGCCCTAATTTATGCTTTATATTACAGAGTGTGCTTTTAAGGTGTTTCAGTGTTTGGTTTCAAGTGAAACTGTAAAATTAGTATGCCGGCTTCTGGTACTTATTCTGTCTTTGGACGGGAAGTATGGTCTGGTGGCTATAGATGACATTCATTTTTGGCTCATTTGATCCTAAATGGAAACAAGAGTGGTTAGTTAATACTGATACTGAGGCGGCTTTATTTAGAGACCTGAGCTGTGTTCCAGTGTGATGGTTGTGCAATCTCTCTTATCATCTCTGTAAACAGACTGTGTTCTCCTTAGCATCTGAGCTATTGCTCAATATTCAGTGCTGTGACGTACAAAGGATGAACGGCAAGATGAGAGCAGAACCCATGATTGCTTCTTGGCTCTTAATTGAA